ACACACACACACACACACACACACACACACACACACACACACACACACACACACACACACACACACACACACACACACCACTCCCAAGTGACACCTTTTCCTGAGGACTTCTTCCACCTTTTCACTTTTTGAGGCTTAGCAAAGCTTTATAAATGCCACAAAAGGTTTTTCTTGCCTCTATCTTACTACACAGTAGCTTCATTTCTCTCTCATTTCTCCCTTTGTTAGAAAAACACTACAGCAAGTGCTAATTACAGCTATTTATTCACTCCATAACAGTCTCTAATGCTCTCTCTTAGCACCTATAAGACAAGAAGTCTGTAGGAAAAATGGGCTTTATCTGTCTGTGAAAGTAAAGCATTTTGGTCCTTAAAACATGGTCTCTGTTATGTAAATGTTTAGTAATGGCTCTATTCAAACACGACATTACAGATAGCACTGCAATGCGTATGAAATACTTGGCATATTCTGAGAAGGCGGCACAGCAGTGAGCAGAAAAATAATGATACCCAGAAAATAAATAATTCTCAGGTTTCTCTCAGTATATAATCGCTGATGCATCAAAATGGCCAAGGTGAGCATAAGGGTGGCCAACATCTCACTTTTGGATCCCCTGATCCTCATCAATGGATAAAAAAAACCAGTCAACTATTTCACAGATAAAGTCTCACAAGGGTTGACTAAAATAATGCACTTATTATATAGTGCTTATTGTAAATTCATGAGTGTAATATAGTTTAATTTTTATGCGTAATTAAATGTGAAGAAACAGCTTCTATGAATATATGATCCATTTATCTGTGTATTGTGTTGACAAGATATGAAGACTGAAGATGAAGTAGGGTTGTGCTGCGCTTTCATGTAATACCAGTTTATACCACAAGAGAACGCAGTAAAGTATTTACCCTTGTAATTCATTAAGCACTATTTCTGCTTATAATTGTAGCCTGACAAAAGGCAAAGCCTCTTAAGAAAATGAGGTAAATGTCAGCACACACAAAGAAGAATAAAATCACAGAAAACAATCAAAAACAGAAGGCAAGAGTGGAAAAACGCACGCCACGCCCTCTGATAATCCTGCCCCCTGGTGGTGTGGTGAAAGCTTTAGTTAAGTTACTCATGGCAGTGTTTCCCAACCTTTTGGAGCCACGGCACATATTTCACATTAGAAAAATCCCACTGCACACCACCAAAGAAAAATATCACAAAAAGCGTACTGATAATTTTTCCCCGGTCTGTATTTTTTCTAGGACCCAGGTCAGATTGTCTACTTTTTCTTTTCAAATATTTATCCATTGCTATTACGGGCTCCGTTGTCTCACTCCCAGCATGACTATGATGTAATTTCTTTTGCGTCTTCTACTGTTTTACTGGCAGTTGGCAACCCATTTAATTAGAGCAGGTAGTTGTACCGCCCTCTAGGGGAGGAGAATGTAATTGTTCTGCCCGTTACTCACACTGATTAATTAGGGTATTAATCAGGTGGAGCCAGATAATCTTCCACGCCACACCTATGTGGGGCGGCAGAGTGGATAGGAAACACTGACTCAGAGGGCAATTGCAAAATGCTGGTTTGGAAAAATGTCAAAATCAACTTAACACGGACCAGTGCTCAAAGATACGCAGACGTAGATGCCAAGAACC